AGAAACGCGTGCTCTAAAGCTCTATACAGTAATAAGTTTAACGGTGGATTTGGGGGGTAACTTTCAATTTTTCGTTCCTTTGCGACATGGTAGCTAGAGTGATGACTTTTTCCCACAGCTGGTGAGGAAAAACAAGATCGCTTCATTGTTTCCAAGTGAGCGAATACCTTTGGGGACGGGCAGTTCCTTTGTCCCATGGGCCAGTGTAATTAGTTTAATTCGTCGAATAATTGATAAAATCTGGACCAGCTCGACATATTCCTTGACTGAGTGCTTTTTGCACGGTTAAAATTCACCTTAATCGAACATATAAAAGAGAGTATCGAAATTGGGACAATATAACAATCGCAGACAGGGAATAACCGTAAACAAGGCTTAGTACACGGTCGGAGGTCGACTTTGCAGGTACAAACTCGGTCGATCTCTATCGGGAAAGACGAGGGAATGGCAATGGGGTAATCATAGAAATCCACAATCGAATTATCAAATTTGTTTATGTTCAAACCGTTTGATAAAAGAACTACAAAACGGTCGCGAGTTAAGTGGGTTAGGGCAATTGCAACGGGACAAATGTAGGTGTAAACTATAGTTTATGTTAGGTTGAGCGTAAAATAATGACATTAGTTAACGGCGAAGCAGATACAGCGTTAAGTTAGTGAGTCCTTCAAGTTTTTAGGCAGGCATACTGCCACAGAACTTTGTCGCACATCCAGTCCGGAATAGTTGATTTAGCGGAATCTATCATTACTTGTTTTGCAATACTATTGCCACGCATCAAGAAACCAAATGTTTATCAATGATTTATCAGGTCTATCTACCCGCTCTGTTCGACCCGGGATTTTTCAGCCTTGATGTTCTCTAGGTAACAGCTGAAATCTAGCAATGTACAAAGTTCCGCATCATTATAAAAATGAACATAAATGAACGAAATAAAAGTAATGAAATAATGATATTTATCTTTTTTATGTTTGAGCTAGCCTGTTTATATTAGACAAACAACTGTTGTAGATACAAACAGACCTCGTCCGCTTTACGATATATCAACTATAAACTATAAAAAGATGATTTTGCAGTACTTTCGCATCGATGTTTGATATGACATCGACTCCAGTTGATGGGACGTAGCCAAAAGTAACAGACTGACAGATGCAGTCAATGCTCAAGAAGACATAATAGATGTTCTCCAATTGGTTGCTTGTCATTCTTTTCTCTATGTAAAACATATCAAACGCGTTATTACTTCTTCGGCATTCAGTTATGGCAGCAGCAGAGGCCAACATTAGAATAATCTTCTCCGATGTCTTCCATTCCGCTTTGGCTGATCATCACATTGTCTGCAAACGACCAAACCTAATCCAATCACTCTCTAGGCGTAGTCAGTATCATTTGCGCGTACTAACATTTTGTTGAAATTGTGGACTCATTTCGGTTAATCATAGAACTATTTTAGGAGAATCGCGTAAGAGAAATTCGAGTTCGTCAGTAAATTGAGCTGCAGCCACGCAGGCCCCTGGCCTGCTTTCAGGTGTGCAACGTCCGATTAGGCTGACTGAGCATGAAACTTAGTGTTTAGATTGTAATAATAATATATAGCGAACTTACAATAGCAGAAATCAATTAGTGTCAAAGGTACAACCAGCTACTTAGAACATCACCGTTGGCCTGCAGTGATTGCTGTTCCAGCTTCATCGTCCACAGATCTATTGCCTAAGTATTATTGTTCTTTTATAGCAAAGCCGTTATTGTTATGTGTATATATATATATATATATATATATATATATATATATATATATATATATATATAATGGCAAAAGAAGCGCCGTTTAACCGTTAATTATAATGTGATTGCAGGTATTAGCAATATCTACAATCGACAACACACGTAACATTTTTAACATCGTTTGTTACGGTCACAGGCCAAATACGAAACGGTCATTAAAAGAGGACGATAGAAATAGAGAGGGTTCAATACCGCTAAACGCGGAACCACTATTTGTATCAACAAAGTTAGAATAAAATGCGATATCTTCTTGTTGTCGTCATCAGAATCATTACAGATCGACGAACCCAGTGACGTTGAGTGGGAGGCCATCGCCTTGGCAATCAAAGGTGATCCATGCTAATGCTCCGTCCAAACTTTTTGTTTTTTTGCTGCTCTTATTAAAGCAAACATTTAGCCCACCATCATTACGTCCGTCACCGCGACGCCTCAGCGTCGCTATGTGGAAACGATGCGTGCCCGGGGACTGAACATTGGTAAAGTGAATGTGGTCAACGGTATAATCGCACCTGGCCTATGTATATCGCCATTTTTGTTTGTTCGGCTTACTTCCTATCGCTATTATTATTACTACTATGTAGCAAGTTAAAAAGTTATCTATTACGTAGAAAAAAATATGGAGATAATGATCAAGGGAAGCAAGATCTGAAATTGAAAAATTCCCAGATATCTTTGTAACGGTAAGATAATAACGTTGGCACTGCTAGAAAAGCGTTAGTGGAACCAGAGAGCCGAACTTATAGTCGTCATTGTAGGGGAGGGGTAGCGTAGAAATCATACGCTTAGGACAAGCCCAGGATTAGCACCGCAAATAGATCGAAGCTTAAAAGGTCCTGCACTAATACCAGGACAGCGATGGATTCTGTGTTTCACAGACAATTTAGAATTATTTTTTTCGTATTATATTCATCGAACACGCTCTTCAATTTTCGTCGAATCCAATAGTCATCGAAAACTATATTAACGCCGTCTTCCTTTCTCTACAGAAGTCACATATGGATAAAATAATAATAATGGATAAAGATCTGTAAAGATCTGTAAGGATGACAAATATATTGGTGTGAAGGTTACTAAAATGGAGATAATCAAAATATTGGAATTTTTTTAAGCTCGAACCAGTAATGGACTAGAGACCACTCAATGCTTCCGAAAATTCTGTTGGAGTTTAACAACAGAAAATTGTTAAGTGATTTCCATTTCACGTAGCGAAAAATCACTTAACTGTATATCTGGTAAATGTTTGCACTAGTTACCGCGTTAATTTGAGGGTAGCAGTTACTAACTAATAGGCTAAATCGTTTTTGCTGCAAAAAAGTCTTCTCCTTATGCTCGGACTCATATATATAGATATATATATAGACGTCTGTTGTTGATGCTAAATGTGCGCAGACGCATCCCTTCCGTGAACGACTATTGCCAGAACAATATCGCATAAGCATCTGCAGCTGGACGCAGTGTGTTTGTTAGACGTTTCTTCAAAAAACAGAAATATGTGATGCTTACATTGCGTCGGCGCGCTCCAATGCCAACGCCACTTCAGACTCTTCTTCCATAATTTTTGTATTTATCTTCGCATCTGCAAGTAAACAACGGAAGTTGATAACGCACTTTCACGTAATCGGTTATACCATATCGAATCCAAATACACGCTTTTCCGTTGCAGCTGCAGGTGGGAGTCGAACAAAAACACGATAACGGCAGATAGAAGAAAAACTACCACTCCTTTGGAACGATCCTTGAAGAAAGGATATATTGAAGTACAGATTAATGCAAGTGGCAACTAGTAAATGAGTGGCGAGGAGAATTTGATGTGAACACACAACGTAACGGAATAACCCATTATAGTGGAAGCACGCATTCTAGTTACGGAAATAAAAGGAGATAGGTAATTGCGTAGTTCTTTAGCTACGGTTGTTGTTGTTGTTGTTGTTGATGATAACGTGCGTGAACTGGAACGAAGCCAACAAACGGATATCCAGCGTTCTGACCAACATTTCATAAATGCTATCTACGCTATGTGTTTATATGGTCAGCTTTTGTTTTTGTTCTCAAGGAGCGAGTTGACAATATTTCGAGTAGTCTGATTATGTCGCTGCTTAAATCAACGAGAAGGGACGTACGGATACGGATCACTATAGATCAATGAATTGAACGAGTCCGGACTAAACACTGCCGACAAGGGCTTGCCACTTTTGTACGTAGACCTTTAAGCTTCCAGTTTTTTTCCTTTGCTGGAGAGGTAACCTTGCAGAGAAGGTAGGCCAAGATCAAAGCGACAGTGAATAGAAATTGAAAAATCTTGTCGCCTCTCATAACGTCGCCCTTTACATATACTTGGGGTCGAGTGAGGCAGCCATTCGATACGCCTGGATATATCTAAACATGCTGTAACATAGGCCCGATTTTTTCCAGTTAGGCTGTCACTCTATAATGTTAAGGTTGACTTCCTCTGGAAAAGGGAAGATGATCGGTCGCAATAGATACAAGACCATGTTACAGGGTTAAGCAACGAACAGATACGTCTACAGAACCGTCAATTCATCATAAAAATGAATGAGGTTCGAGCATTTCAAACTTTGCGTCGCTGTGCTAGACGGTAGATGGTTAAGCAGCTTTAATTGCCTTTGGTGGGACCAGCTGAGGAGCATAAACATTGTGAAATGCGCTATACCCGAGATGAAGGGTTTAGTACGCAAATATATAATATCATTCTTACTGAATTTGTCTGGCTCGTCGGTTCAATAAGGACAGAGTTTTTGTTTGCAGTATAAAATCGCTATTAACCCAGCGGCTGTCGACTGAAGCTCCTTTGACCTTTATATATATATATTTTTGTAAAAGGTCCGTGTCCTATTCAAACTACTTTAACGGTACAATCGATTCTGCGAGCGCTGCCTATGACATGCATTTCCAAGACTGCAATTATTTTATATATGTATTACAACAATGCGAGCTACACCAACGCGATATTACACCATACAAAGGCACAAACGGAAAATAATTTCAAAAGATTAATTTTGCCCGGTTTAGGGACATAAATTGTTGCTATTGTGGTTTAATCTTTTTTCGCTTAACGGGACTCATGGTGACGTCAAAACGTATCGTCTTCACCCATCTTTTCGTCTGCAATTCATCTCGTCAATAAGCATAAAATTGCAGACATGTAATTACGTACCTATGCAGCGCCGAGCAGCAGCATAAATGATGAAATAGTTCGATCTATCTACACCTGTAAAAATTTTCCACTGACTGATAATAACGAAATGACGTAAAGCGAGGTCAGATGCTTGCTCAGGATATCCCGAGAAAGACCTGACTACCGAGACAGTCGAGTATGGCCGATCGCAGAAATCAGCAAGGGTCAGTGCCAGGGCAAGCGCCAGCAGTGCTCACGATTGCAGTTACTTCGGCATATAATTCCATAAACATGTAAGTTTACCCACTACTTAAGATCTATGTATACATAACAACTCGGTGCTATGTCAGAAATCGAACATATTGGCTTGCAGGCCGACTCTTCGTTTAGGCCACTGTGCTTGATACTACAGCTTCGCCGTAGCAACGTAGTCGTCGGTGTCGATGTAACGCTCCCCAGTTCGGTGCCGTTACATGCGAGAACCAAGCATGCGTGGTTTTACATAAAAATCTAAAGTGGATAAATTACATGCGCGTCGTGAATTTGCTCATCGAAGGTCAGCAGGTGGCTATTTCCTTGTCGGTAGAGTATCTTGCGTTGAATGGTCAGTGAGTGTCATCAGCGCCGCAGCGATCCATAAATTTGAACGCTCGAATCCTGTGCCATCGCCATCGTGGCGTCATATCTCTAAGCGCCTCCAGTTCAACCGCTGTTGCCGACAAGGGGTAACTTGACGTTAGGTAAGTCAGCAGTGAAATCAACAACAAAAAACGACAACTTAACAATAATAGCAAATGACAGCCATGACAAATGAAGCTCTCTACTAGAGCCGCTGTTCCCAAAGCGAATAGAGGCTGATCGCTACCTCGCTATTACTCATGGTATATGACAATTATGTAAACAATGGAGCCAGCAACAGAACAGCGCTCAACAGTCACTAGCGCTCCTCAGAGAAGTCGTTTACCATCCAACTAAATCAGCGGCAGATTGAAAATTAGCGGACTGTAAGCGAAAAAAAAATATGGAGAAAAGCAAACGGGAGACAGGACGATTTACAAATATTGCTATTCTTTTCTTATATTATTACAGGATACGAATATTTCATTGAATAGGACTAATATCACTATCTATTCAACTTTTTATGGATTGTGTGTAAACGGTAATTTTTATCTTCCAACGCATCCCTCATCAGGTCAGGGCTGCGATGTCATTTTTAAGTAAGGCCGTTCGTAAGCAAGTAGAGGTGGAACTGAGTTACGTAACCTGTGCCTAATAATTTATAAACGAATATTTTGATCCATTACAAATGCCGAATATTACTGGATATGACTTTCATGCCACACCACGATGAATTTGCTAGAGACGGGGTCTGGTTAACGGTGGATTGTACTGAATGATATAAGTGTTTTGCCAGCTGTATCAAGGTACGGTCGTTTGCAGAAGTCGTTTCATTTCGTAGTTAGACTCATCCTGTTGAAGCAAAACATATTTAATTGCTCTCTTACTTCGGAAGATTTTCGGTAAACTCTTCGTGTTGACAGGTTACCGAATAGGTCTCCGAATGATGCGTAACACTTTTTTCCAATACGATGTGTAAAGATTTGGAATGCCCATTCCTGTTCTGTCTGATATAGTGGGAAGGCATCAAGGTTGAAGGACAACGACGACCCCTTTTGGAACTAGAATTGCAATTGGAAGTATTTCACTTTGGAAGCGCATAGTCGACTACTAGAGCTTGTAGGCATAGAGTTCCAACAATTAGCACTTATTTATTAGCAATTATGAAGCACTGCAAAACGAGAATTGACCCAAAAAAATGTTTTTCATCCAATAACAGACTTCTTTCTTCTCGTTCTTTTTTAATTACTACTATTTAAAGTCAGCGAAACTCTAACGATTAGTCGTAACAAAGGCTGTAACTAGACAGGACCTTGGTAGGATATGAGTCTGACCGAAGGAGCAAGGATATTACCTAAACCTCGATTGAACAGATATCAAGAAAAATCATCAAATGCATTGAATATTCAACACTGCCATCGGGGCTAGCACCCGTGGATGTACGAATGAAGCGGACGAATCGAAAAAAGCTTAATCGTCGGCTGATTTGGCTTACCCCAGAGTATTCAAAGGCCAAACCACCTTGGTCATGCTTATGATTCATCATAATGACGAGTTAGCAAGAAATTACCTGCTACCGCTACTGCTATTCGTTAAGCCGCTGTCTCCAGTAAAACGACATCCAAATCCCAATAGTCTTCGGCATTTAATCAGCCCTAGTCGCAGTGCATCGACGCCACCGACGAGGAGTTCGACGATGACATAGAACTACGATATTCTACAATCCACAAGCGTTCTAAATAGCTATACTTGTAGCGGCACCGAAGATCATACTAATACTGATCATAGTAGCAGTAACAGTGCATATGGATTACTGTTTACCGATCGCCATACATCTAAATACTTCCCATCTGTAAGTAACGCCTAGCATGCACAGAATGCTACTTGGCATCCGTACGGTGGGCGTCAACTGCTCGTCAGCTCCGAAAAGCGTCGAGTGGAGTCTCGTAATCACCGCCGAGTGGCACCAGTACCTTTGGCGCTCGGTTATTTGTAAAGGATAGCGTCGAGCTGGAGCGGTGGCTTGGGCCGAGGGTGCTGCCTACCGTTCGAATGCTGCTCGTTCAAAGCCTCACTCTTTTTACTATATCAGACGAACTTTACACTTTATCGATCGAATGATTTTGCTATCGTGTACTGCAGTGGCAAAGATGCGCAGGCAGGTAAGTAAATAACCTGTCTAGCTTCTTAGGTCTGCGTCCACAGGTGGCAGTATGTGGTCAAAGTGATAGATATTTGCGTATATTTCGGAAGACTGTAAGGAGAAGGCAGCGATGGCAGGGAAAGATAGTCAACTTGTGATAGAAGTTGACTGTGATAATCTTCTTTCGCCTTATAAAACGACACGCGAGCCGACTAAATAAGTAGCAAATGGTGAAGTTAATAATGGCCATACGAGTAAGTTTACGGCGACAGCGGTCTGCTGAAAGCGAACTGATTGTGGTAGCTTACGATCTCATGATGAGGAAAGATACTTTTGTCAAATTGTTAGCACTCCTCGTGGCAGAATTCATCGGGGCGTTCGTTCAAAATTGCTTCTGGTAATTATGTGCTAGATATAACCAGTCGACAGTGTTCATTTGACGTAATAGATAACAATGTTTTCTTCTCTATAGTACGCTAAACAGTATATACGGTTTTACACCGACCAGTATTTATAGATTTGAAAGCAACTTTTCAATAGCGCTAGATTCGTTTTTGGATGTCTGCCTTCGAAACTATCAGAGTCCTCGAACGTTACCCTAAAAACGATAAGGAATCCTCAATTCGAATATGAGATACGATGAATTTCAATGCAATTGCAACCAACCAACTGGTTTCTATTGCAGAATCATGTACCTGGCAATCATGATTACGGTTCGTGATCTGACAGATAGGCCACTGAAGAGAGCGTAAGATATGTTATCATGGCCTTTTTCTCATACTTGTGTTAGGAGTTCCTTCTTTATTTCGTACCATAATCACCTACTGGTCAGAAAGTCCACTCACATTTGGCCAACATGACACTCCCACTTTCTTATACGTTCATCCATCTGTTCTCGATTGATTCGCTGATTCGATGCAGTGCGGGTTCCACTTCGTCACCCTTAAGGAAGCCTGGCCAAGTGATGCTTCTCTTTGGCGTCCGCTGTTGTTGTCATCGTCGCCGTTGGTGTCTCGTAGTTGTCGTCTGCTAACATAAACCGGACCGTTAACATGATGTTATGATCTTGCTAACGTCGACGCCTGCCAACTGCCGAAGACCTAACTGCTACGGTTGTTTACCATCAGACTGTAATTTGCGGCGTAGCTATGAGCGGCATGATCACCATCAACGATAACAATAAAGACGAACGAAACCAGCTGCCAACAAGAATCACTGTCAAACTTAACTCACTAATACAGTACAACTACAGCCCGTTCTAGAACAACCAAACTGAATGATACGCTCTGGCCGCACTAACCCCCCCAGTTTTTCCTGGATACTGTACCAGCTTTGAGCCGTTGCCACTAGTGCTATCGTGTCTGCGTCTGACCGCCACGGTTGTAACTGGCACTTCCAAAATTGAAGTCACAAACCTTTGTCATTATGATTAACTCGATTAATGAAGAAGAATGCCGTTTATTGTATTTATCAAAGAACAACTGATGAAGTTGATTGTAGCAAATGATGGGATAGCAGAGCCAATTTACTTTTGCCAAAGGCCAGTATCGGACTCCATTGACCCGCGGATGTTAAGGGTTATCGGCTGATGAAAAACAAACGGTAAGACACCGTGGACAACAACAACAGCAACAGCAGCAGACTGTATTCATCTCACACATAATCGTCTTTATCAGTTGTTGACTCAGGACGTGTAGCGTCTGGCCTGAGTCTCCATCAAGTCTAAGACAGCCCGCAATATCATCGGACGCACTATAACGGCACATAGTTGCCGCTCATCACTTTGACAACGCTACGCAATCAGCCAGTTTACTTGCTTGCACATTATATAGATATATATCGCCAACGTGACGTAGATACTACAAATTTTCTATAAATAGAATAGGTTACTTGGAGATACTTGTGTTGGTCACGTATTACACCCATCGTTGAGGCGCGACCACAATTTTCAGCTATTACGTGATCTACTTGTAGTCTAAATGATGGACCTGGCAGCTAAAGATCGGTAGCTAACACTTGTTGACTAATCGCTTATTCGGGAATCAAGACTGGAGAACAAAGACTTAGCTAAGGCCGAGAAGACATTGATAGCGTGGCTATCGTACGAGCTATTCTTGACCGGTCACTTCGCTCCTTCCCGGCCCGCTTCAGAGCGTCCTCTCCGAAGAAGCGAAGTCATGTCATCTCGAACACATCGGACTGTCCATCCATTGACAATTCCATCCAAGTCTGCGTTAAGTCACTTAAAGAATCTTACGTAGAAGATACAATAAACAGGGCGATAGACAGACGACAGCAAGGCCTGATCATTTGCTTTCAGGATGGCGGTAGCTGTACGCGAGTTCGACGCTAACGGAGAAAGGATCGTCTACGAATGCTAGAAGGTAATCTGCATATGAAATAACGTTACTTTTCAGTTTGTCGTATTCATTTGTTTATATAATATGAATACCAATAGGAAAAATTCGCTTTCTTTTTTCAACATGATACGACGCTGAGTTGCAGACCATTGCAATCACAGCTATTGTGATCTGTCTGTTGTCAGCTGTTACTGCTTCCTGCCGATGGGCCATGATAATCCACACAAGGACAACATGCAGGCCAATACTTCATAGAAGCGTATTTGGTTAGCTTAGGAAAATGGCCCAATGATACATAGAAAATATTTTTATTACAACAACATTACTCGATATATATATAAAGGATTAAGGAAGCATGAAATGATAAAGGTATAGATCAATCAATACGAAACGCCTGCTCGACTCAAACAGCTTCTAGGGCAACTGTGGTGAAGCGTTAAAAAAAGTCGATACACGGTAGTTATCAAATGCATAAACATAAATTAGCACAAAAAAATAAATACCATTAGATTATTTTTGCTGAATGTTTATATTTTAACAGCGTCCTGAACACTGCTGGATGTCCTCAAAGATGGCGGTTACGTAAGGAAGTCATCTTCAGCTTTGATTATCGCGTCTAATCTTCGGAAGATGTCATTCGAAGATAATCGTTTTCTTTTTTGTTTATTTCTTTCCAAATGATAAAGTTTGTCGTTTCCTGCGCAGCAGAAGCCGTGACGATGTAAGGCTGAGGTTTGGCTCATACTCGTCGCCCCCCCCATGATAATGTCACCACCCCAGGGGTGGGAGGGATACTGTATCTGAAGCAAGTATACGAATGAAAGCCTTGACGATGCTGCATCATAAAATACGGCAGACCTTAACCACTGCGACTGTAGTATCATTGTACACCGCTGCTGCCCGAATTTATAGTAATGCGTGTATGTAATGCGCAGACATTGATTAGAAAGGGATTTGTTGAGAATCAGATAACAACAGGCGAAGAGGCGGGTTGGTTGTCGACGCGACCTGCAATGCCGTCAGACTAGCAATACTTTTTTTTTAATGTGTATTTTATGTATATCAATTTACTCCTCATGAGTAAATCAGTCATCGGGCCGATCCGCAGCTACGGATTCTATGTCAGCTGTATGACGGCCCTCTGTATTACGTCCATGTTTGCAGGTACTTATGCTATACGTGTAGAATCAGCGGCAAAAAAGGATTTTTTTGCCAATATAGGATTATATAGACGCACACCTATATTTGATTCCACGACGACTTTTCTTTCAGCTTTTTTTTTCCATTTGTTAGGATAATTATATGATCAGTTATCAAAGGTGCTGGAAGAGCAAAGCGTCACGTGTAAAAATGGCGCCAAAATTAAATATCCAATCGTGTAATGCGGGAAGTAATCGCTGATAGCCTGTAAAGCACTTGTCTGAATTAGGTGGGCAGGACGTGATGCAGGCCAACGATTGTTGTTCCCGTGAATATCATCCGATGTGGTCCTGCGTAACATATATAGAACATGTTAGTGTCGTGTAGTAAGTTCTCGTTGGGCTGATACTTGATGCTATAAAACGATTCTTTGCGAAGACTGGGGATCGTCGCTCGACGACTGTGGGTTATACACAATCAGTTGATTCATTCTGTATCGTGTCGGCATAAACTACTAAACTTGAGTATGTGATACACATACACTGGCTTGTGTAGCAGTCTTCAGTTAAATTGTCTTCATATATTCTATCTAACAAGTTGGTATCGGTTGGTATATTAATGACGACTTAATGTATTCCGTGGGTGATATAAGGTCGTGTATGCAGAACGCTGCCATATGCCTACACACATGTATCAAATATATCTGTCTATTCGGCAGGGATCTGTGCGCGCGTCCTGAGGAAAAATCGGAGGTTAACATTGTGCCACCAATATTTACTGCCAATGACCTGATATATAGCATTTATGCACACGTGCTTAGGATCCTATGGTAGTTATTTGTCTTCTAGGCAACTCGTTAATAACTAGCAACAAGGTTTACTGTAAGCGCCTTCGTTATGAATCGCCAATTTCGTTCTGCCTATTACACCATATTGTTAATGTGGAAGACGAATAGTCTTCCATTTCCAAATTTTTCAGGACAGGATTTCAGGACGTAATTTCTTACACAACTATGCTAACGGAAGGTTCGAAAATTGTCTACAATAACGTGTTTTGGCTGTTAGCTCTGCAATGCATAACGCTTTTTCAGTTGGAAATAACTGAAACAGCGTTATGAAGCAATGATCTGGGCTGATGGTGACCACGGTTAGGCCTGGTAGCAGTGAAAATTAGCGTCGTTTTGATTGGACTACCAGTTTCATAAAGAAAAAAAAAAACCAACAAAAGTATGGTATCTTTGCGGTAATTACGCCAACCACAAAAATTTACGTCCCCATCAGTTGCTGATAATAGGTGGTATTATTAATATGTCTGTAACGCTTCTTCGCATGGATTTTCTTTTCTACCCTTCCCTACAGAGTGTGAATCCAGCTATCTTAGGTCGGTGATCAGTTGTCATGATATGACTATAGGCTCAGGTCCCTTATGAACAATCACAACGGCTGTTCATGTATTAGAGCTCATTATCTCTACCATTTTAGCTTGTTGGCCTAAAATTGTAATTGTTTAGGCCGTAGAACGAGGAGGAAGTTGAATAGGATCCGATACATTTTATGGTTTGTGGTTGCCTGTAGGTCATTTGTAAATATTTAATAGTGAACAATGTCATGCCAGAAAGTGTTGCCATATTGTTGAAGCTGAGGTCAAGTAAGATCATTCTAGTAGACTCGTTTGTATTGCCAACCCTATACCGATAGCTAGCGTTCCTCTCATCTCTTACGCTTGCTTAGGATGGAGAAAATAGGTAAAGCCAAATTCGGACCAAGAGACGGAGAGTTAAATAGCCTTAAGCAAAATGGCATCCTGGAGAAGCCGATCTGCGTCTGTGAAAAATCGACGCGCATAGGTTGCGGTTGGGTGTCTGTCGATCCTCTCATACTCTCTTGACCCAGGCATCGTGTTATTTTGCTCGTAGAAAAATCAGGGTAAGGCGTGTTCAATATTCTTCGCCAACTGTCGAGAAAATAGTAACGTAATGAAAAATTCATGGAAAATTAAATGTGAGGTGCCGAAGTGCAATGCTGAACTAGCCAAATGAACGACTAGTTTCCACGATAGGTGTCCTCTGTACTTTTATAGCGGATAGGTCAATTAAACCTAAATAAATGCTGGCTCATCACTTTCGTAACCGTTTATTTGTCCTTAGAAGACCTAATTACTCAATTCGCACTGGTCTAATAAATTTACACCTGCCTAAACTGATGATCGCTATAATAGCGCAACGTGTTGTTAGCCCAGTTTTGATATCCGTCTGCGGTCTCTCGATCAAATCTATTATACTACTATGATTTTTGCTGTAGCGCGTATAGGAATCACTATACCCAGTTCAATTAACCATTTGATATCAGGTTCGATTTTGCACACAAGCCTTTGTCTATTGAAGTCTAGCTAGCACTCTTACTAGTGCTTATTCGTCTCTTCGCCATCACATTACTAACCTCTTTATTTAGGCATCATTTATTAGCGAATTCGATGAGACGTGGTGGTTCTGCTGGGGATACCAATTGAAGCGATAACTTTACGCTTATAATCGCTAGCCGCCATTACTATCGCTGGTTGCGCCGCTGAAACTTCCACTAGTTCAGCTCGTGCGCTCATCCATCATCAGCTGGCCCTGGTCCTGCGGCCAGCTGTAGTTCGGTAGAAAGGAAACTATTGTTCGGTGGGTTGCCACCATTGTTGTGCGACTGCAACTACCTGAATGGCCTACCTAAAACGAGCTATCAACCATCACAATATACTTGATATAGTGGTGCCTGTTGAGCGGCCTATGAAGCTGAAGGTTCCGTACTGCCCGCATAATGTTAGCTAGTTGGACTATAACGTTATGACAATTTCAGCCCGTTGTAGAAAGGTGCAACGAGCCAAGCTTGTTACTGCTCGCACGCAAGGTACTTTAACTCGTTGTCGTGTCCTTTGTCGTTGCCGTTTTGCTGTCGCTGTTGTAGCTGCTTCCTTCGAAGCTGCTGATGCTTCTTGGCGTCGCGGCCAGCAGAAAAATGGAAGTCGCCCCGATGCGACCGATCTGACGTCAAAAGGAGATGAAAAGGAACAACAACCACAGTACCGGCACCAGGACGATGACGTTCTTCGTGTTCGCCTCAGCTGCCGACGACGATGACATTTTCCTTCCCAGATTTACCCTAACCATCTTCAATATCAGCTCTTTTTCGTGGATATGCCGTCATTAGGCTTCGAGACAGTTAACAAACACTGTTGTCATCATATTCGTCGCAGGCAGTTCTGGCAGCTGACACCGAGGCAGCTGGCGCCAGCTGCCAGAACTGCTCGCAGGCTGACTGTCGTCTCAGTGAAGGGGCAACAAAGAAGACAGCCGAGCTCTGTCGCCTCTGTCCGTTGTCAACATGATTAAAGTAGCCCTTGTTGCCTACAATGGCTATCGATTCAGAAGCGACTGTGACAGGGAAAAAAAAAGATAGACTGGCGTATTTGATGCGGATGGAAAGATTGGTGAACAGGAAAAAATTCGGGGAGCATATCTGGATTCCAGTGGCCCTGTGTAGTAATGCTACCAGCAACGATAGGCCTAGTCCGTTTGTTATAATTTCTGCAGTGTAATATGAAGCAATATAGGGCATGGTAGCGTATGTTGCACGAGTGAGTAGTCGGAGATAAAGAGGAGAACGACTAACGAGGCAGCTAGCCGCTGGTTGATTTGCTGCAGATTCATCATTAGGTATAAACAGCAGAAGAGATTACTAACCAGTAAATAGTTCCGACCAATATGATATTGTATGCTTGTACGCTATACCATGCCGGTCGCTGATGGCTGCAGTGAAGAGAAACGAAAACAACTGTCTCTGCGCTGGTGGTGATAATGGCGATAACAGGTAGTCACAGATCATCATCGACGAGAACTTCATCTTATTCAGCTATTTGTAATTACAGATATTCGACAAAGCACTATATAACAATACGTAGACATGCTAAAGAAGGGCAAAAATGACGAAATCTCTTGAAGAACTTCCGCTCTCTGGCAATGGGATAGTAACGCGCAACATCAGCAAAAGGAACTGATGGAAAGTTTAACAACAACGCTAACGAAGCTCAATAACTTGCAGAACTACTCGAAGCCGATAACGGTGATAGGGCTAATGTAACAAATGGTAACGGCAAAAGCGATTATTGGAGTCGTAATAATTTAAACTTTTAAACCGATGAAGCCGAAAACTTTTTGTTTCATGAGCATTCATCAATCTACAAAGATTAGAATAGAAAAACTAGCCCATTTAACCAAAGCCCGGACACTCCAAGCTAGTTGAGACATGGTGACTAGCACAAACGAAGCAGCAGCGTGAGTACTGCTTTAGAAGCGTCCATGTTCATACGTTTTCATTTGAAAGCGGCCATGAATGACGAATGGGGTCACTCACAACCGTCGAGGTGCAAAGGAACCTGTGAGTAAAAAGACAATCAAAACCTCTTATCGCGGCAGCTAGTCTTCGGATGTCATCGGACAGCGGTTCACGGGGGGCGGAAAGAGAGGTTGGGACAGGAGGGGGCAAACGAGTCGCTGCTTAATATTATTATTGTTGTTGTTGCCGTTCGGCTTTTCGTTGTGGGTCCATCTTCGCTTTTTTTCTGTATTTCTCATTTTTTTCTTTTTGTGGTTCTTGTTCTCTTTCCTCCTCTCGTCAGTTCTATTTTTCGTTTTTGGCCGACAAGAAAAGAAAATAATTGGCCTTCTATCCATTCGTCAAGGGTCATATACCTATTTGATGCGGAATTTGGTCGAATGTATTCGCTGGTTGACGGAAACAATCGGACAACTACACCAGGTAGGACATGGTGAGCTTTTTGGATATTTTTGCCTTTAAAATACGAAGCGTCGCGCCGAGTACCTGCATCATCGGAAGGGAAGCGCTTGATTTGTAACGGCACATAGAATCAAAGAGAATTGTACGATGATGGTGAAGCAAACGAATATCAATCAATGGCAGGCTGAAATCAATGACGCCTAGTTATAACTACGATTCGTCACGAAACCATGTGTTCTGACAAAAAATGTTGCATCGATAGATATTTCCTCAGATGACCAGCCATCATCAATGTTCAAACCTGTTAATTGCTGGCGATCATGTCCGGTTACTTGTCAACAATTCGATGAAGCGTACCCTATTGAAAACCTATAAGGCCGTATCTACTTTCTTCTACACACCCATATGTGCCTCTCAAAGATGACCATTCATCGCAAGACGACCGACAAGCTATTCAATGCAGGTATATTACGGAAACCTGTTTGTTGTATCTTGCAAAGAAATATATGACCAATAAGAATTACGTTTTTTTTTTCTGCTTTGAAAGATATGAGGCTAAAACCTCACTAAATTTTGCAAAACTTCATCTTCCAGCCTATACTGAAAATGCAATACTCTTAATACACGCATGTGTCAACAAATTTCCGCTAATACTAATCTTTTATCATTTAATGAACAAGTAAGACGTGCATCGAGTGAGCTCGACGTGGCTGTCATAGAAGCAACGTCCTCAATTCTGCTGTCTTAACTGAAGCTGTAAGATTCACGTCCGGTATCCATTCCATCAAATAGCTGGATTCCAGTACGAAACGAACCG